GCCACGAGATCATGTGATTGTAAGTTTGCAACGAGTACACAGAATACATTATTACATTTTGTTACTTTTAATTAAACAAGTGTGCGTAATATCAGTTAATAATTCCTAGTTGGATGGGTTCTAAAAATAGAATTTGCATTTGCGACATGAATTGAGGTCAAAGCGCATAGAAACACACAACTCAATATCACCATGGTAGTAACTTTGACAATTTTGCTCGCAAAGTGTCTGAATTGTTATAACCCAATAGATGGACTTTGACCTTTGGATGTAATTGACCAACCTTACATCGAATGTCTCACGCGCGTGAATGTGCCAAAGGCGAAAATCACTGCAAGCGCGGGTAAAAATCATGCAGAAGCATTACAAATTCATAGTCTTCTCTTTGCCCTGAAAATGAGCTCTTTGGGTCGTGAAAACTGTATACGCATCTTCTTTTGGGATGAGCATTTATATAATGGCATATCAATAACAAGTAATATTATATACACATCACGTAATTATGTTTATCTGTCATATAATTTTATATTTCTATTACGTCATAACTACATCATTTAACGTCATCTCTGCAACACATGCTGTTAAATACTAAAATAGTAGTCATACAAAATTGAAAAACCAATAAAACACGGATTTAATTCTCGTAATAATTAAAAATGATAATTCGACGTTTGAAAATGTACATAGTTTTATAAATGAGTAAAACCAATTGCTTATGCATGGGATACTTTCATGTTGGACTCACAGACCTTTACGGATACAAAATATGAAAAAAACAACAATTGCGGTCAAAGTGCAAAAAGGATACACACAACTCAAGCACACTGTGGTGGCGGTATTCGCGATTTCGCTCACATAATGTCTGAATTGCGAACATCTAATCTGCATATCAAAGGTATTGAGGACATGAACCTAAATTGCCAGCAGTTACTTCAAACACAATTGACCCTTGTGTTGACCTGTATTGTATACCGCATTCCGTGGTATTCAATAGTTGTTGAGCTGTCTAGGCTTTAAAGTCTAGACAAGCGTTTTAATTCAAAGGAAAATGTAATGTTCACAATTAAACTAAAATTTACGCACATGTATATGTGTCGTGTCATAAAAAGAACACGAGAAATTCAACAGTCCAATCGTTAAATGGTGATGTAGTTGATATTGTGAAATCGAACATCTGTCTGTATTCAATAGATACTTTTTCAGCTAGGGTATATATAGCGGGCTTCTTTGACAATGTACGGAGCCGTGTGTTTCACTACATGTAGGGTCGGCTAAACTGTATAAATGGACGTATGTATTTTACATAACACAACGTAATAACATAGAAACACAGAAAAACAAACTGTAACAGTACAAGTCACTGAAGTAGCCCAACAGAGTGCAGTCAGAGCGATCTTCTTTTATCCATAGATAAAAAGGTGCACTTTCGGTCAATGGGCGTCGCAATTTTTGTATTGATTTACAGATTATTGAGAGCGAAACAGCTCATTTATGACATCTCCAGAATGTTATTTAAAGCGGCGGAGTCGTCACCTGCGCATGCGTCAGATGGGCATATCATTTTTCACAAGCAAGCGTCCACCCATGAGCATTTGTGTTTTAAGCGTGTGTTGTTATCATCGCTTAGGACTCAATTCTCACGCGTGCGCAGGTGACAACCCTCAGGCAGAGTACAGGAACCATTAATGCTTCAGGGTGTATTGGGAGGGATGAAGGAGTTTATGTTTGCATTGACTGGTTGTAATGTGCTATCCTCTTTCAAGGATGCAGCCTGGTATGTTCTTGGTTGTTCAATTATGAAAAATTGTTGTGCTTTGTGGAAGATGTGTTGATTGGTTGTTGGGTCATTTTTTAAACACCCTGATATGGCGGTGTCTTCCAAAAAAAAAATGGCATCAAAATGATTTCTGTTTCTTTATTACTGTTGTAGATCCTGAGAACTAGCCATTGAATATGATGTCGAGAATTACATATAATGCTGAACAAGCTTTATTAATTATTGTTGGCAATATTCCAATATGAATTGGAAGTAAACTGTGATACTAAAACTAGCCTTGCATGCCGTAATTTTGCGGTATCGCACTGGGTATTTACTACCTACTATATTAGGAAACGCGAATTCCAAATGTGAAACAATTACGCGCGTAAGTGTCCTCTGATAATAAAAACACACATAACTGCCACGGGGGTTTGGCCGGGCCGTACACGAAGAAGTTCGATGATTCTGTTATATATTCGAAACCGCTAGGTCTTAAATTATTTCCTGGCAAGGCGTACACCAC